TACTGATGGAATGTGTATACTGTGTCAGTATTGATGGAATGTGTATACTGTGTCAGTACTGATGGAATGTGTATACTGTGCCACTCCTGATGGAATGTGTATACTGTGTCACTACTGATGGAATATGTATACTGTGTCACTACTGATGGAATGTGTATACTGTGTCAGTATTGATGAAATGTGTATACTGTGTCAGTATTGATGGAATGTGTTTACTGTTTCAGTACTGATGGAATATGTATACTGTGTCAGCACTGATGGAATGTGTATACTGTGTCAGTACTGATGGAATATTTATACTGTGTCACTACTGATGGAATGTGTATACTGTGTCAGTTCTGATGGAATATTTATACTGTGTCACTACTGATTGAATATGTATACTGTGTCAGCACTGATGTAATGTGTATACTGTGTCAGTTCTGATGGAATATTTATACTGTGTCACTACTGATGGAATATGTATACTGTGTCAGTACTGATGGAATATGTTTACTGACAGACAAGGATTGGAACCTTTGCTGGTCCTCTGATCATTAGGGCCAGACAAGGATTGGAACCCCGGCTGGTCCTCTGATCATTACAAATTAACTATGCTATTTGATCAACAAAGGAACTCATGCCCAGTCAACATACGGTTTCATCCAAAATGTAAGTAACTTAGAGGGGGGTTTATTATATGTACAAAAACCTACTATGGAGTTTTGTAGTGTTTTCTCTGCAGTAGGATATGGGTCCTTTAACCTTGCTGTTCTATCCTGCCAAGGTTGTTCAGGTTTCCTGCTGTAAAAGCAAGATATCTCGCTTAATCAATTAACTAAAGGTTTATTATTCTGTAAGTCTTGAAGACTGTCTTACAGCCGTTATAGTGAGAGATTACAGCCCAATACTCAGTTATAATGAAGTTAACTTGCGTCACCATGTAAGGCACCAGAACTACATGGCCTGGAGGAGTTTATTATGATTAGACCTGAAAAATGCCTGGCCTAGTTGTTAACACATGGATTAATTGCTCAGAGGAAATAATGAAGGTATACGTTGTAAGGAGGAAGAGATATTCTTTGTAGTCTTTTCATTTAAAAAATTTGGATACCAACTATGTTTTCCTCATAATAATTATCAGCAAACTAAAATTAACTTCATCATCAGGCTTGAAATGGTTCGTTTAAGTGAGTTAAAGTCTATAGCAAGCTGTAGTATTCACCAAGTCTTACATGTGCACAATGGGAAATGGATATTGGTGTTTGGAGCAGGAGACGAGATAACATCAGAGTTTCGCTGACAAGGAAAACGCTCCAATGCTTCAGGAGTCGACAAGGCTGACTTCTGTTAGCACAGGTACCGTAGGCAGCAGGTGTAGGCGGGTAATGGTAGGTGTGTAGCCGTGTGTAAAGTTGGGTCAAGTACTACTGTGTATACCTTTACAGCAGGCACATCAACACCAACATCCTCTATATCATTTATCTATTGGTAGGCAGGCCCATCATCTACTAGCACTACAGTAATGGGGAACAGCTCTCTAGCTCTGCTCCTCTCCAAATACATTTCACCATGCTGGTACCGTTGGAAATTTATTTTCAACTGGGGTTTTTCTCCCATGTCAGCAAAATACCTTTAGCATGGAAATTTATTTATTGTTTTGATTCCAAATTGTTGGACACTTTACAAAATCAAGCTTTCTTTTACCACAATGAAGATTGATTGGCACACAAGTAAGGTAGGTGTATATGTACCATATGGGGCTAACTGGTTATAGTGTCAATCTTAATGCACTGGTGTCTCAAGGGAATCATTTTATGCTGAAGATCAGTAAATTATTGTAAAAAACTATTGTTTCCTTGGGTCATTTTTGATCACCAGTAAACATCTTGATGGTTTTCCACAGCTTAAACAATGATGTTGTACTAGAATCTTTCATTGTTATGTCAGTATTGTTCCAATAAATGATAACTTGAGGATTTTGAGATTTCCAATGTTTGTGATAATGTTGTCTGAACAGATCATATTTCCGTAGTACTTCGTATTACATCAACCATTACAGGTAAGGAAACTTGAAGAGTTTGATACCTTGGCTAGTTTCAAGAAATTTAACCCCCCAAAAATATGTGAAATTAAAAAAACAAACAGATTTAAAGTGCTAAGCAAACCATTACAGGTCAGAAAACTTCTAGAGCCAAGACACTTTTGTAAGTTTTGGAAAAATTCATCCGAAAAATATCTGGAAAATAAAGAAAACACATAACCTTTTCCGAACTAGTGACTCTCTCAACTGTTCTGTATCTTTTTCACTGTGACCTGTGAAAACTAAACACCAAAAAAACATTTATAAACTATGATAGCTCACCAAGCACAAAAGTCTTACTACAAACATAAATAAAGATTTCATTTCCTTTTTCTAACCAATTAATTTGTATGTCTTCCTTCATGAATCCTGAACACCCTTTATAATGTCAAAACAACACTAGACAAATGGTGTCAGTATAATAAGATGTAACTGGACTAGAGAAATCTTGTGATATAAAACATGTATTATATATGTGACTAGAGAAATCTCGTGGTATAAAACATGTGTTATTATGTGACTGTAGAGAAATCTCGTGATATAAACATGTGTTATGTGTGACTGTAGAGAAATCTCGTGATATAAAACATGTGTTATGTGTGACTGTAGAAAAATCTCGTGATATGAAACATGTGTTATGTGACTGTAGTGATATCTTGTCATATAAAACATGTGCTGTGTGACGACAGTTATATCCTGTCATATAAAACATGTGTTATGCGACTGTAGTGATATCTTGTCATATAAAACATGTGTTATGCGACTGTAGTGATATCTTGTCATATAAAACATGTGCTGTGTGACGACAGTTATATCCTGTCATATAAAACATGTGTTATGCGACTGTAGTGATATCTTGTCATATAAAACATGTGCTATGTGACTTGGAGATATCTCGGGATATAAGACATGTGTTATGTGTGACTGTAGGGAAATCTCGTGATATAAAACATGTGTTATGTGACTTTGAGATATCTCGGGATATAAAACATGTGTTATGTGTGACTTTATAAAAGTCTTGTGATATAAAACATGTGTTATGTGTGACTTTATAAAAGTCTTGTGATATAAAACATGTGTTATGTGTGACTTTATAAAAGTCTTGTGATATAAAACATGTGTTATGTATCTGATGTGATATCTCGTGATATAAAACACGTATTATGTGACTGTAGTGATATATCGTAATATAAAACATGTATTTTGTAACTGTAGAGAAATCTCATGATAAAAAACATGTGTTATGTATCTGATGTGATATTTTGTGATATAAAACATGTGTTATGTGTGACTGTAGAAAAGTCTTGTGATATAAAACATGTGGTATGTGACTGTAGTGATATCTTGTCAGTTAAAACATGTGTAATGTGACTGTATTGATATATCGTGATATAAAACATGTGTTATGTGTGACTGTAGAAAAGTCTTGTGATATAAAACATGTGTTATGTGACTGTAGTGATATCTTGTGATACAAAACATGTGTTATATGACTGTAGAGATATCTTGTCATATAAAACATGTGTTATGTGACTGTAGTGATATCTTGTCATATAAAACATGTGTAATGTGACTGTATTGATATATCGTTATATAAAACATGTGTTTTGTAACTGTAGAGAAATATCGTGATATAAAACATGTGTTATGTATCTGATGTGATATCCTGTGATATAAAACATGTGTTATGTGACTGTAGTGATATATCGTGATATAAAACATGTGTTATGTGACTGTAAAGAAATCTCGTGAAATAAAACATGTGTTATGTGACTGTAGAGATAACTTGTCATTTAAAACATGTGTTATGTGACTGTAGAGATATCTTTTATGTGTGACTGTAGAGAAATCTCATGATATAAAACATGTGTTTTGTAACTGTAGAGAAATCTCATGATATAAAACATGTGTTATTTGACTGTAGTGATATATTGTCATTTAAAACATGTGTTAACTGTAGTGATATCTTTTCATATAAAACATGTTCTGTGTGACGACAGTTATATCCTGTAATATAAAACATGTGTTAAGTGACTGTAGAGATATCTTTTATGTGTGACTGTAGAGAAATCTCATGATATAAAACATGTGTAATGTGACTGTATTGATATATCGTTATATAAAACATGTGTAATGTGACTGTATTGATATATCGTTATATAAAACATGTGTGTAGAAAAGTCTTGTGATATAAAACATGTGTAATGTGCCTGTAGTGATATATCGTAATATAAAACATGTGTGTAGAAAAGTCTTGTGATATAAAACATGTGTAATGTGCCTGTAGTGATATATCGTGATATAAAACACGTATTATGTGACTGTAGTAATATCTTGTCATTTAAAACATTTGTAATGTGACTGTAGTGATATATTGTCATTTAAAACATGTGTTAACTGTAGTGATATCTTTTCATATAAAACATGTTCTGTGTGACGACAGTGATGTCTTGTCATATAAAACACGTGTTATGTGACTGTAATGATATATCGTTATATAAAACATGTGTGTAGAAAAGTCTTGTGATATAAAACATGTGTTTTGTAACTGTAGAGAAATCTCATGATATAAAACATGTGTTTTGTAACTGTAGAGAAATCTCGTGATATAAACATGTGTTATGTGTCTGTAGAGATATCTTTTATGTGTGACTGTAGAGAAATCTCGTGATATAAACATGTGTTATGTATCTGATGTGATATCTCGTGATATAAACATGTGTTATGTATCTGATGTGATATCTCGTGATATAAAACATGTGTGTAGAAAAGTCTTGTGATATAAAACATGTGTGTAGAAAAGTCTTGTGATATAAAACATGTGTAATGTGCCTGTAGTGATATATCGTGATATAAAACATGTGTGTAGAAAAGTCTTGTGATATAAAACATGTGTAATGTGACTGTATTGATATATCGTTATATAAAACATGTGTAATGTGACTGTAGTGATATATTGTCATTTAAAACATGTGTAATGTGACTGTATTGATATATCGTTATATAAAACATGTGTGTAGAAAAGTCTTGTGATATAAAACATGTGTAATGTGACTGTATTGATATATCGTTATATAAAACATGTGTTAACTGTAGTGATATCTTTTCATATAAAACATGTATTATGTGACTGTAGATGTATCTTGTGATATATAACATGTGTTATAGACAAGTGACTTCAATAAGTTATATCCTGTCATATTAAACATGTGTTATGTGGCTGTAGAGGTATCTTGTGATATATAACATGTGTTATAGACAAGTGACTTCACTAGAGAAATCTCGTGATATAAAACATGTGTAATGTGCCTGTAGTGATATATCGTTGGATAAAACATGTGTTTTGTAACTGTAGAGAAATCTCATGATATAAAACATGTGTGTAGAAAAGTCTTGTGATATAAAACATGTGTGTAGAAAAGTCTTGTGATATAAAACATGTGTTATTTATCTGATGTGATATCTCGTGATATAAACATGTGTTATGTATCTGATGTGATATCTCGTGATATAAACATGTGTTATGTAAAACATGTGTTATTTGACTGTAGAGATATCTTTTATGTGTGACTGTAGAGAAATCTCGTGATATAAACATGTGTTATGTAAAACATGTGTTATTTATCTGATGTGATATCTCGTGATATAAACATGTGTTATGTGACGGTAGTTATATCTTGTCATATATAACATGTGTTATAGACAAGTGACTTCACTAGAGAAATCTCGTGATATAAAACACGTATTATGTGACTGTAGTAATATCTTGTCATTTAAAACATGTGTTAACTGTAGTGATATCTTCTCATATAAAACATGTATTTTGTAACTGTAGAGAAATCTCATGATAAAAAACATGTGTTATGTATCTGATGTGATATCTCGTGATATAAACATGTGTTATGTGTGACTGTAGAGAAATCTCGTGATATAAAACAGGTGTTATGTGACTGTAGATATAACTTGTCATATAAAACTTGTGTTATGTGACGATAGTTATATCCTGTCATATAAAACATGTGCAGAGTGCCGACAGTGATATCTTGTCAAATAAAACATGTGTTAACTGTAGTGATATCTTTTCATATAAAACATGTTCTGTGTGACGACAGTGATGTCTTGTCATATAAAATATGTGCTGTGTGACGCCAGTTATATCCTGTCATATTAAACATGTGTTATGTAAAACATGTGTTATTTGACTGTAGTGATATCTTTTCATATAAAACATGTTCTGTGTGACGACAGTGATGTCTTGTCATATAAAACATGGGTTATGTGACTGTAGGGATATCTTGTCATATCAAACATGTATTATGTGACTGTAGTAATATCTTGTCATTTAAAACATTTGTAATGTGACTGTAGTGATATATCGTAATATAAAACATGTGTTATATGACTGTAGAGATATCTTGTCATATTAAACATGTGTTATGTGACTGTAGAGGTATCTTGTGATATAAAACATGTGTTATAGACAAGTGACTTCAATAAGTGGTTTTATAGACGTGTGGTCATTATAGACAAGTGACTTCAATTAGTGGTTTTATAGACAGATGGTCATTATAGACAAGTGACTTCAATAAGTGTTTTTATAGACGGGTGGTCATTATAGACAAGTGACTTCAATTAGTGTTTTTATAGATGTGTGG